GCGCGGTTTTCCATTTCACTAGTGATTTCTGTGGCACCCCTGTACATCTAACATGAAGATTCTAAATGTACTATTTAGATTCTACATCTCCTCCGTTAGAGGGTTCTCGCGTACATAACGAGGCAGAGTGTGCGAGCGAGAAAGAGAATGAGTAACGGGCCTCTTGCCTGAGGCGGCGGGGGAATTAGATTTGTGCAAACGCAGTATCGTAGAGAATGATCATATCTACCAGATTGCCAAATCTGAATCAGATCGGATCATAATTATAGCCAGAATGAAGAAATTAATTTTCAGTTGCTTCCCCCGTCTACTTCAGCCAGAAGCTACTCATTCTCTTTCTCGCTCGCACACTCAACCGCGTTCAGTGCGCGAGCAACACCTAGCGGAGGAGATGTAGAAATGGTACATGTAGAATCTACATGTTAGATGTAGAATATACATTGTAGACGTAAATAACAGATGTAGCAAAAATATGTAATATGTAAAATTTTTTTTTTTAATTCTATAATTCTAGAAAATTATAAGCTCAAAAATGTATATACTGACTAATTACGGATATATGTAGAGTCGCGTCCCCAGAAGCGACTCGCACGTTCCTTCTCGTTTTTTTAAATCTAATAAAATATAATATAATCCTTTTTTTTTATGTCATATTTTAAATTTGTTCTTTAAATTAAGAAAAAAAAACTCGTCTCCTAAAATGCATTTAACTGTCTGTTGAGCTACTGAGCAACTGATATTATTAAAAAGGCGATGATTGTTCAATATATATATTCACAGTTTATTGTGGTGAAGTAAATAAGCGATACAGAGTCGAAAGGATGGTTAGCTGGATTCAAGACGGGGTCAGATTGAAGACGCGGGGGTCGGTTCAAGACGGTGTCGGATTGAATTGCTCGATTCCAAGACGATGCGCAGTGATTACAAGATCAAGACCAAATCAAAGGGCAGGCGGGACGAATTGCCCGTTCCTAATGCGAGCGAGAGAGCGGCAGATCGAGAGAGTGATAGCGAAAGGCGATAGAAAGAAAGCTGTGAGTTGAAGACGCGAGAGAACGGCGGCATAGGCTGCTGCCGTGCGGGAGCATGAATATGTACATATGTATGTAGATGACGAAGTTAAGCAGTGGGCAGTAAAAATGCTGAACAATAATAGATATTTACTCTATTTACTCTACTGCACCACTGACTATGATCTACTGATTATTTGGCTGCGTAACCAAACACTGTCCCTTTTAATCACGTGTTTCTTAATTGTTGCTAAAACAGAAAAATGGTTCAACTTTGAACAGCGATTATAAACAAACCAACATTTTTGCAATTCTTAATTGAAGTGTGATAAAAGTTTTGCTAAATTCAACAACACGATATCCGACTTTTGCAACGAGTTTCCCTTCCGCCACCACAAAGAACGAAAATCTGTGACATCCACAATTTTGAAGTGATTGACCACATCTAACAGATTGCCAAATCTGATTCAGATCAGAATGAAGAAATTAATTGAAAGAGGCTGCAGCGCTACTCATTTTCTCTCTCGCTCACCCACACAGTGCAGTGTGCGAACTTTGGCGAAGGAGCTGTTGAATCTACATTGTAGATGTAGATGACAGATGTAGCAACAAAATGAAAACAGAAAAATATTTAAAAATTCCACATAAATTATAAGATTACATAGTACGTAGTCAGTAGAGTCGCGGAAGCAAAAGCGTGTCGCTTCTGTTACCTCTCGTTTAATTTGGCTTATTATTTTATTTTTGATATTCAGGCAGGCTCTGGTTTTAATATTCACTTTGTGTGGCACCCATTTCATTTTTCTTAGCATTGTCACAAACCAAATTCGAACTAAGGCTAGGGTTGACACCTTTCAAGATTCAATTCGAATAGGGTTCATTTTGCAGTTCTATTCATTTTATCATATCAAAACAATTGGTTTTTCTTATTTTTCTTTTATGATATAAAATAATTGATTATTCAAAGCTGTACTTTTATAATAATATATATATATAAATATAATTTCAATATAATTTCAATTGTGAACTCCCAAACGCTTTTGGGACGAATCGATTTTTCGGTTCCCTCCAGACCAACCCGTACTTTCCGCCCCATCCGATTATCCATATGTAGATCTAATTACTCCCAGCATGAACCTTTCCGGGTTTTATGCAATAATTATAATTACTTGTACCATTTAATATCCCCCGAATTATCCCTTGAAAAAATTATATTTAACATTTATCATTACCTTAGTTTAGAAAATGTGTAAATTGTATCTTTCCTTTCTCTCTTGTACATATATAATTATTTTTTTTTTTATTCCTTTTCCATAATTAGCAGATAATTGTTAATTGAAATAAATAAATTTAATATCTTGCTCCGAATTCGGCTTAAAAAAGGTGTACTTCGAAAGTCCGAATCGCCCTAGGTGGCCACCTCTGACTGCAGCGGATTGAGCGCGGAATCGTTAAGTGAAAATTCAGTCAGCGGATTGGATAGTGATTTACTTAAATGCTTATTTTATAATCTTTATTATGATGTTATTTGGATAAGGGTTAATCACTAATTGAACAAACTTTATGGGAAAGTAAGATTCGAATTGTTTTAGGTGTGTTTTATTTAATCAAATCGCTGGATAGATTGTGAGCGATTTTGATTCCACTGAAAAATCGGTGCGTGACACCGCGGAATGGGGTTGAGGTCATTTTCCAGCGGAAGTGATTTCTGTGGCACCACTGATAACACTAGTCAACAAGAAATTTACGCTGTGGTCCAAAATGACTTCTTCTTATAGATTTCGGGATTTACATTTTTTTTAACGAATTATGGTTTTTTTTATGGTTCAGTTTTTTCTTAAAGAATTTTTTAAAGTCAAATATTATTTTTTTGAGAGGTTTTCACATTACTGAAGTATATTATATCTGGTTGCATAGAACTTTGCAGTTCTGAAAAGCTGACAAGTGCAGCTATAAATCCGACACAGACACTTTGTATCTGCAACTTAACGCCTGGAAGCTTTCATATTTCATCATTTTTTTGCGGTATTTTTCCCGAAATTTTGACTTTAAAAACTCAGGAAATGTCGGAAACTCAGGCTCTTTTTTAGCTGGCTTGCACTTGTTTCCTTAAATTTTTAATGTGTGTGTGTGTGTTTTTTGGACGACGGAAGATAGAATAATTCTATATTCTGCTCGAGATGGCAAAACCATCGGGTACTTTTCTAGTATCTATCGACTTGTTTTTTTTCCGAACTGAGTACCGGTCTGCGAAACTCCTGCTGCGAAATTTTTGGTCGACCGAAAAACAGGGATGATTTCTTATCGTTTCCATACGAATATCATTCCTGATTCGGTTGACGGAAAATTTAGCGTCTTGGTTCAGACTTGTTCGTTAAGCCCTAGTACGTCTGAGTACTAGGCTTAACAACACCCAAATGAATGCCTCGGAGAATAACGAAATTGGTGCGTCGCACAAGCAACAGAGAACAATCGGAAAGGCGAAACAGATAGCCCTTAAATCTGCGCAGAAAATGAGAGAACAAAATTTATTTATTTATTGCAGCATTAAAAGTATATGAAACCCTTGTATGTTTTGTTTTGCTCCTGATTTCTCATCCATGCAGGCGCACTGTGCCACTGCGAAACATGGAAGACCCGCTCGTTCTTAATATATCCTGGAATACCTTGAAATTTGTGAATACGTACCAGAAGATTTGGTGGTTTGACGAAACTGACGTAATAAAACATTTAAATGGCTGCACATAAAATCCGGTTGCTGTAGGTCTTAAAGTTTCAGTGATCTAGCTATCAATGAAAATAGTCATACCATGACCGTCATGGGCTATATCGATTTGCCAATTGGTTCTGATGTAGTGTGAAGTGGAAGACTCTTCTTTCTGGTTGCCAAGATTACACAAATAAAAGACTTCTCACACTGGCGACCATCCAGCATCCATTTCTGGGATGTTGTACACAACGAAAAACAGCAATTCACCACGAAAATGTAAACAATGTCAGATAGGAAAATGGTAAAAAACAATAACAAAACATCTGATATGTCAGAATTGTCTCAGGCACAAAAACTCGGTTTGTGGATTATCCCCTGGGAATTCTTTTATTAAAGCTCTGCAAAACTCATGCAGGATTTTGCCCACGCTATTCTGCCTTCCGACTATTCTGTACTCAGAAAATGAGCCCAAAGTACAATGCTATATAAAACTTTTTTTAAAAAACGATTCGTTATTGTTGAGTACATCTTTCTCCTAAAATGTCCCAAACCGCTTCTCAAAAAACATAAAATATATATATGTATTTAAAACATTGATCGACTTTAGTAGAAGCTGATGTAAAAGACCACGATTCATTGTTTTCAAAACAGATATCCATTCCAATAAATTCTCCTCTTCAATGTTGGCCACACTATCATCATTCATGTCTTGCAACGTGATTAGATTGTGCAAGAATATATTTTGCTGGTAAATCAAATTCACAATCATTGCAATATTATTAATATTCATTTAAATTATAAAAGAACAAAAATTTCTGCCTCACCAAATTGTGTGCATCAACTATTTTTCATGGGTGGTGGATGGGGTCAGTGGGCTTCGAAGTTTCGCATCTGTGAAAAACTACCACCGTTCCTCAAGTCTGTACAGTGTGGGAAAAGGCTATAAGATTTTTCTTATGGAATAAATAAAAGTTTAAAGAACAAGAAATTGTTCTATGTAATATGATTAATGGATATACGCATTTGCTTCTTATGCATTTTTTGCACTAATCTTAGTTATTTTATGCTAATCCAGCTGATTTTCATTGATGGTGGATGGTGCCAGGGTGAATAGGTGTTTCATATCTCTCAAAAATTCCCACCGTTTCCTCTGGATGGGATCATATGCAGAGGGAATAAGAATCTTATATTTATACAAATTCATTTTGTGTTCCGTTTTCCATCGTTCTATAATATATATGACTTTAGATCTTGTTAACTGTATCTTGACGCACTTTAATTCATATACATTGTATAATTAAAAGATTGAGGCTTGCATATTTCTTTTATTCCCATTTAACAGTGCACCCAGTTTACCCACAAAAGTGCAACAAATAAAGCTCAGAATGAGAGTGGAAGCTTTGGATATTTTTTGGACGGATAAGAGTCGATATGATTTAGCAGAAAAAAGGTTTCACGAAGTTATTTTAAAGGTACATTAGGTTCTGATAGTCAAAAGTGTATTATCCACATTCCTAAAATATGCCTCAGAATTGTGAAGATTTATATTTTTACATATTTTAATGAACAAACCCTACCCAAACCAATCAAAATCGGTTAACAATATTACATATATATTGCCCTTTTTGCGAAATTTTCGTATATATTATAAGAAATTGTACATTACCGCGTGTTATCTTTGCCACTAAGATTAGCTGAGATTTGACTAATTTAATTAAACTAAACTATCAGCCATGCTCCGGTTATCGCAAATCGCAAAAAGTTACGATTTGACAATCGCAAAAGCGTGCTTCGGTTTTCGTAAATCGCAAGATTTTAACGATTGGAAACCGGTTGCTAATGAACTCGCGATTTAAAAACGAATTGCACGAGAAAAATATATTTACAACGCTTATATAATTATTAATTCATTTAAAAAATTTATATCTAAAGGCCCCCAATTTAATCTCATCAAAATAAACGTAAGAAACAACAAAGTGCGAATTGCCATTTGACCGCTAAAATATCAATATCGACCAGGGAAAAAATTCCGTCTGTTCTTAATTAACGGATTTTTGTATTTGTTTTGGGTATAATATAATGCGATTCCCAAAACGATGACATATTTAACTAAAATATTTCCCTTTCCAAACCAAACAATGATTTTTTTCCAAGATAAATATCACAAAATAATTTGGTAATTAAATACTATCGATAGGAAAAAGTTACGTAACCTGGAGCGCACACAATTTAAATTCGTACGAATTGTTCCAAAATCGTAATCGCAAAAGTTTACGAAAACCTGAGCATACCGCTTTCATTACGGCTTTGTACCGGCCTGGCATGGGACCTGCCAACGCTCTTGCTTCTGATTTGGATGGCTTCATTACAGTCTGAAAGAAGAACTTGCACGGCAAGTTTTACGCATGGCTCTAACTCCTGTTGTTTCGTGGATTATGCCTGGCCCTGCTCAGGATCCTCCCTCCTTCCGTTGCCGGTGACCGGACGGTACTGCCAAAGACAATATAATAATAAGATGCGTAACGCTCATACATTTCAATTGCCATATGCAAGCAATTTTCCGGCAAGTTTGAGAGCGTACAAATATAACGTGAAGGAACGTGCGAGTCACTTCTGGGGACGCGACTCTACTTATACCCGTACTCAGTCAGTATATACATTTTTGAGCATATGGTTTTCTAGAATTTTAGAATTAAAAAAAAACATTTTACATTTTTTGCTACATCTGTTATCTACATCTAAAATGTATATTCTACATCTTACATGTAGATTCTACATGTACCATTTAGATTCTACATCTCCTCCGGTAGGGGTTGCTCGTGCACTGAACGCGGCAGAGTGTGCGAGCGAGAAAGAGAATGAGTAGCTTTCTGGCTGAAGTAGACGGGGGAAGCAACTGAAAATTAATTTCTTCATTCTATAATTATGATCCAGATTCGGCAATCTGGTAGATATGATTATTCTCTACGATACTGCGTTTTTAGTTTGATCGTATCTTTAAAATTGTGCCTGCCACAGATTTTCGTCCTTTGTGGGGGCGGGGCGAAATTTTGAAATACACTTGTAGCAGTGTGATATCACAAGAGTCTGGAAACAAAATTTGGTTCCTCTAGCTTTTATAGTCTCTGAGATCCAGGCATCAAAAAAGACGGACAGACAGACATGGCTATATCGACTCGGCTATTAATGCTGATCAAGAATATATATACTTTATGGGGTCGGAAACGTTTCCTTCTCTGCGTTGCACACATCCACTTTTACCACAAATCTAATATACCCCTTAACTCTTTTTTGAGTACGGGTATAAAAATAGAATGCGCTTTCGTGTGTGAGTACACACAGAACCTTTAAGTGCATGAGCGGCGTACTTGTGCTAAGCGACAAATTTTCGAGACGCAAAATGTTTTTTGAAACTTCGAAAATCTTTTTGCCATTGACTGATTGGAAAATAAAAAAATTATATTCTCTGGATTCATATTTAATTTTTTAATAATATCTTAAATAACTGCATAAGGTCGCAAAAGGATTTTCAAGAGAGCCTGGAGCCAGCCTGAAAAATTTGAGTGACAAAATTTCGTATGGCGTTACGCATCTTATTGTTATATTTTCTTTGGTACTGCCACTTTCTTCCAGATGGGCGGGGCTAAATCCCTACGCATATTTTTCTAACATATATCGCGTAAGCTCACTCACGCAAGGTTCAAGCTGTCAACTTGCGATTGTCATTGGGTTCGTTGGTATTGGCATGTAGATCCGCAGTCAAAGGCTATGATTTCGACCAATGTGCATTTACCGCACGAAATCTTTCTTCCTGAAGATACAGTAGTGGACATTGAAATGTGGACACTCATGTTAGTTAACTTTAAGCCGACGGCGAGAATTCAAAAACATCTAAGTCAGTCGGGAAATATTTTAAATGCATAGATACATTCATTAGCTGTAAATTGATGACTTGCTTTCATTTCAAAAAGAAATTTTCAAAAAAAAAAAATTAAAAATGTAAAAAATGTAAAAAAAAACTGAAACTGAGAAGGCAGCCATTTTATGTTTGCGGTCAAATAATTTTAGTTTTGGCGCTATTAGCACCAAATTTAGTATGAGTAAGTCCTCAAAACACAATTTCCTAAAGGATTTCTAAAAATTCTGTTCGGTAACACGACTACCCGCCTCAGGAAGTAAGGGGAAAACCACCCCAAAGGACCTTCAAAGTAGGATCAGGATTGAGATCTTCGATTGGGCGTCGCAGATCGGTTCAAAATGATATAAGATATTAGAAGAGAGTTTTTTTCAATCGGTAGGTATCGATTTTAGCACCAAAGATAAACGGCGGCGTCTTCAGGAGACATGACGGTCCTGGGATAGCAGTATGACCACTATTAACACTAAAAATGCGAAAAAAAAGGATCCAATGGGCCAAACTTCACGAATCTTGGACTGTAGAAGATTGGAAAAACGTTATTTTCTCCGATAAATCTAAAATAAACCTATTTGGTTCAGATGGCTTGACGTACGTTCGCCGCAAAGTCAGAGAACTGTTTAAGGATGAGTGCCTCAAAAGAACGGTGAGGCAAGGAGGGAGCAGGATGATCTGGGGATGTTTTTGTTATTGTTATTGTTATTTTGTATTTCCTAATAGTCTTGTTCTTAAACGCAATAAAATAAATTTTGTTTTTCCTTACCAAAAATTAGTAATGCATTTTTTTTGTAAATATGAAAATTGTATGAAAAAGTGAATAATTTTTGATTTAAGGATTCTTTCGAAAACAAGGACATTTGTGTTCTAACTTTTGGAATATTTCCTTGGGTATTTAAATTGTTTACTAGTTATATAAGTTTTTTTCTTTGGAAACATACCAAAACTTTATAAAACAGAAAAAAGGACTTGTTTTTGAGTGTCCACATTTCAATGTCCGCTACTGTAGTTTTGGTATGGGCCTAATCCAAGCCATATGCAGTTCGGTATGACTTAGAAATATTGAACTCTATTCCTTCGGTGATCACTTTCACTTAGCAGTCGGATAGTCGTACTTTAACAGAAATCATCATGGTTTTATGCCGGCAGATCCAAGACCACTATCTGATCGCTTTCAGTAATTTGTGTACCCATGCATTTGAACTGAACTCTAAAGCTGATGACAACATTAGCACTGACTTTGCTAAGGCCTTTGACAAAGTCTCTCACAGTCTCTTAATAGCTAAGCTGCATCAGTTACGGTTTTATACCGCCCTATTCAGTAGGTTTATATCGTATCTTGATCGACGAGAGTATATACACAGTATTGATAAATGGAAAGCATTTGGACCCATACGTACCTATGTACTTCCGGCCTGTAACGGAAGTACGAGTCCACCGCTGTTCGTAATATTTATTAATAAAATATAATATTCAAGCTTCTGAATATTTCATTATTGGAAAATGTTTCTTTTGTTCTTTTTAAAATTCTGTTTTCAAAGTGCTCGTTGCCGTATATTGAATAAATGGCTATACTCTCTCAAAGCAGACTGAGATACTTGACGTATTTTGTTATTTTTGTGGTATTTTTTGACTTACTTTCATATTTTGTAATTACTTTAATAACTTGTTTTCTTGAGAAACATGCCAATATATATGTTTGTGAAATTCTATGAAAATATACAATAATTATGAATTTTTTGTCTTATTTTAAAGGTAACTGAGAGGCCCCAATACAGCCCTTTAGTGTCTGAAATTGCAAAGGCTAGGGAGCATATACAGAACTCTCTGGAAAAGGTAATTTTAAAAATTTTTTGGTTAACTTGTTACTCCAAATAGTTAAGGGGTATATTAGATTTGTGTTAAAAGTGAAGTGAGCCGGGAAAGTTAATGCCAAAAAACGGCATATCCGTCCACTGTGCAGTGTATTGTTAATTAAATCTAACAAAAATTGTTTTTTATATACTTTCAAATAGTCGTTACTTTAACTAGACAATCGTTTTACAAAATTATTTAAGTATTGAAATTTAAATTATTTAAACACACTCGGCTCTTAATGGGTTAAAAAAGGTCGAAAAGGCGGTATTTTACTGCAAAATATGATTTTCGGAGGGTTGGTCAAACAAATTCAGCTCAGCCGATTATCGAGCGCGAGATTTTTCATTAGCTGTCGAATTTATTGTAAATAAGAAGTCGATTTTAGTTCATTATATATTTAGGTTCGAGATTGTTTGCAGGTAGAAACACGATTCGTATTTCCGAATGTGAGACCGAATATGTGCAGTTATGTATGTAAAATGCGACGATATGAAGTGTGAAGGTAGATACTTTTAGGTGCAGGACCATTGGCTGAAGATCAGTTCCAGACTAAAAGAGGGCAGGCGGACCGAATTGCCCGTGCCCCAATGTAAGCAAGAGAGAACGAAAGAAGCTATAGAAGCTCGGGCTGCTGCTGAGCCGAGCGGATAGATAGAGAGAGTGTGCGAGAGAACAACATAGATGTTGCGCTGCAATACCGAAGCGAAGAAGGAGATATAAAGAGGCGAAAGAACGGCTGCTCTCTTGAGTAAAGATAAGCGGTTACAAAATTTAAATGCAGTGGGTAGCGCAAATAGCAAATAAGGTAGAATTACGTTATTCTGCACCACTGACTGAATTACATGGTTGGGAAACGAGACAGATACCTTGATACCTTGATATGCAAATAAAATAAAAAAACCCAATAAATATTTTTTTTCGACTTTTCCGGAGTTTTTTAAATCAAAATTTTGAAAATAAAAACTTGAAATTAATTTTCCATTTGAATGTATACTTCCCAAAGCTCCAAAGTCGATGGGTCCTATTTATAGCTGAAATTATTAACGTTTTAGAATTGAAAAAGTGAAAAAAGAAGCACTACCTCTAAAAAACATTAAAAAAATACAATTTTAAGAACCTTAAAATTACAATTCATTAAACATTTTTAAGCCCCAAATCCACCAAAAAACGAGAAGTAACGTGTGAGTCGCTTCTGTGGACGCGACTCTACTTTTATACCCGTGCTCAGTCAGTATATACATTTTTGAGCTTATGATTTATGTAGAATTTAAAAAATTTTCCATTTTACATTTTTTTGCTACATCTGTTATCTACATCTACAATGTTGATTCCATATCTGAAATTTAGATCATACATAGACAATGTAGGTTCTATATCATCTCCGCAAAGGTCGCGCATTGCAAAGGGCAGAGTGTGTGCGAGCGAGGAAGAGAATGACTAGCGTGGTCTCTTGCTGGTGGTGGCGGGGGAAGCAACTGAAAATGAATTTCTTTATTCTGGCTATAATTATAATTAGATCTGATTTAGATTCGGCAATCTGGTAGATATGGGCATTCTCTATAGTCAATTCTCTATACGATACTGCGTTTTTAGTTTTATCGTATTTTCAAAATTGTGCCTGCCACAGATTTTCGTCTTTTGAGGGTTTGGAAGGAGGCGGGCGAAATTTTGAAGGAGTGTGATATCACATGAGTCTGGAAACAAAAATTGGTTGCTCATTTTCTCATTTGTTAGATCGACAATTTGTACTTTGATTAATTCACAACACAGTTTGTTTGATTATGTTAGTTTTATTTATTTGCCATGCAAGGCGAGTGGAAATAGTGTGGGCAAGAGTTAGCAACAGGCGGACCCGTGGTGGACCGTGTTGAAGCGAGAACAAAATGGGTTTTTGTATAAAAAGTAGTAACGATATAGCAGGTCCCTGTGCCAACCGACAATACGTTGTGTCTCTGCTGCGCAGACGAGCCTCCCTCACAGCCTTCGTCGGCTGACGATTTTCGGGAACGGGCAAATGACTCAAGAGCGTAGGTCAGGTAGGCAATGTTGTGCATAAGAGCTTAGCTCTGCTCTCTTTGCGCTGCCATGGGCCGGCGCCTACCCGAACACAACTTATTTTCCTTCTCGCTCGCACACTCTGCCGCGTTCAGTGCGCGAGCAACCCCTAGCGAAGGAGATGTATAATCTAAATGGTACATATATAATCTACATGTTAGATGTATAATATACATAGTATATGTAGATGTAGATAACAGATGTAGCAAAAAATGTAAAATGTAAAATTTTTTTGTAATTCTAAAATTCTAACAAATCATAAGCTAAAAAATGAATATACTGACTGAGTACGGGTATAAGTAGAGTCGCGTCCCCAGAAGCGACTCACACGCTCCCTCTCGTTAGTTTTAGATAGACGCATTAATAAGGAGTCGTTTAAGATATTGTTCATTAAAATCTATGGATAAGCGGTGGAGCTAAAATTCGTTAACCAAACCCCACAAGAGAAAAAATAGACAAAAAATACTCCGCTACAGTAGCGGACAAAGAAATCCGGACAGGCAGAAAAGTACTCATTTTGTTGATTTTTAGAAACGGTGTTTATTTTTGGAAGAAAATTTTTATTAAACTAAATAAATGAATACATTAGCTAATCAAAACAACACTTATTTCAATTCCCTGCTGGTTTTACTTTGGTAGAAAACTTAAATTAAAATTAACGATAATATTTCAAAAACTGAGGAACACAAACGAAATTTTTTTTTCATATTAAAATGTATACATTTTTTGAAAATAGTATTTTATTAATGCAATATTCTACTATTTTAAAAAGTATACTTCAATATTTTGTTGGACCTCCTTTGTTTTATATGACCGAGTCGAGCTCTTTTAAAGTTGTGGATTTCTTCTTCGCCAAAGATACTCAATCGGATTAAAATCGGGACTATTGCCTGGCCAGTCCAATGAATTTATTCCAACCCTCTTCATACTGTTCGAGTGCTTATATCGAATCCTTCCGACTGAACAAACTCGCTTCTAATGTCTTCTGCAGTTTTCAATCGATTAGCCATGCTTAAGCGCGTTATTATACGATCGCCCTGGTCTTCTTCTTTCTCCCTGTGCCCGGGTTACGTTTCAGAGTTCCGGTTTTCTCAAAATTCTTTATAAAAACCCCGATTACAGATTTCCTAAAACCAACTTTGGCGCTTATTTCTCTGAGACTTAAGTTTTCCGATCGCAAAGCCAATATAGCACCTTTATCATTTTCAGTCATTTTCGGCATGTTTCACTGATTTATTTTTTATTTCAAATAAAAAGCTTAGGGATACAAAACCTCGGCGGCGAAGTAAAACTTAATAGATAATATGAAAAAAGATCCAAACCGTTTTAAGCATTTTACTTCTTCCACGCAGCTTCAAAGTTGGCATATTGAGGCCATAAGTAGGTGTCCGGATTTCTTTGTTCACTACTGTAATGTACACACTGGAAAATGGGTATTGAGTAGGATGTGTAGGGAATCCTCACTACTTAGGACCACTTAGGATATATATTTTTTTTCGGCCGTTCCACTTTCCTCCTCACGGAGTGACCATAAGACGATGGCTTGAAGAACTGCGCGGCTAGTAGCCTAGCTGCACTTATCTCAGCCTTGCACTTAAGATGGAGGTCTATCGGTTCCAGGCCTAGCATGGTGTCCAGAGCTGCCTGTGTGGTGGATTTGAGAGATCCGGTGACCCCAATGCATGCCGTCTGTTGGACTCTACGGAGGTTTTCCAGGTGGGATTTGGTGTTAGAGTCTCATCGATATGCCCAGCAACTTTGTATAGTGCGCTCTCAACTGATCTAGGCGTGCTGAGCTCCACTGAACACTTGTTTAGTTCTAATATATAGATTCATTAGTCGCTCCATCGTTTTTAGTGAAAATGAGGACAGACTGATGGGTCTGTAGTCCTTTGGGGAGATGAGGTTTATCTTCCCTACCTTGGGATGAAGACCACTCTGACCTCCCTCCACCAATGGGGGACGTTCATCAGTGTCATTGGTGGCGTTGTATCGTCGTCGAAGGTACCGTCCTGGCTGCGGAGCAGGCCTGGTGTGGTGGGTGACTGGGTGGTGGGTGCGAAGCTTTGAGGCCTCAGTGGTACCATCTATGGCATCGCAGAATGCTGCCCATGACTCCCTCTTCGCCTTCCTACAGGTGTTCTTGTAGGTATTGAAGCTGCGGCGATAATCGTCCCAAATTTCCTGTGTGTTTGTCACTTTTGCTTTGTTGAAGAGTTTTTTCGATTCCTTTCTGACTTCGCTCAGCTCCCGTGCTCACCACTGGTTGTGATTGGACTTTGGGGGTCGACTGATCGGGCAGGATTTGAGAAACGCCTTCTGCAAATCATTGGTAACGTTCTGCGTAGCTTCCTCTAGTCCTCCCGTTGGAAGTATGTCCCCTTCCAGTGGGTTGGGCAGCACCTTCTGTACGGTTGCGGAGTTCCTTGCCGTTCCCCTTGTCTCGCGCTATCACCCTTGCGATAGTCCAGTCAGATGTCTCAAGGATCCGGTTCTGTGCCCTGATCAGAACGAGTGTGTCCTCATCCGCCTTGATCGGGGGAGGAATCCACACCTTCATGATCGTTCTCCTGGGAATCTGATCCGTGGGGACCACGCAGAGTGCCGCTCCTGGCCAAAGTTCACCAAAACCTTGGACTGTGGTTTTGAGAAACTCAAGAGTTTCTGCATTGCAACAGGCCACTGCCTTTGGCTTTTTGGACAAACGGGTTATCTGCGTGCACAATGGCATCCTTCATGGCTGTCAGGATCTCCGATTCTGCCTTCAGCCAGTTAACGTCCGATATCTTCCCCTCGGGGTGACTTCGGTCAATGATGGCTACCTGCAGCTCGGCCGGCAATCCTAGGCTGGCCAGAATGTCCTCTGGTTTCGCCTTCTTCGGTTCGGAAGCTTTTGTGGAGTCGTCCGTTCTCTGCCGTTTGAACCTTGTGCTTGTGCCTTGGCGCTCGCCGTGTTCTGCGTCGGAGGTGTAGTCTTCCCCCTCTGCTTCCCGGACACGTTTTTCCCTTTTCTCCATCGAGCGTTTGCAGACGATGACGTTGCGGGTTGGTCCACCTTCGTCATCGTGCCAGCTGATGCTGACGCTGAATTCGACGGTTGGGGTCCTCAGTCACCGCCGCGTGTGCGCTTGGGGGTGCTTGGTCTCCGGTGGTAGGAGCGACTCTGCTAAGCCGCTCGTACCTCCGCACGTTTTGCTCGTGCTTCTTCCTGAGGCTCCTTTCTCGCGTTGGCTTATACCACGAAGGTATTTTGCCGATGCCCTGTATCCCGACAGCAGCTTGCGTAGGGTCTCAGCCTCCGTTCATAACGGATGCGTTTTAGCCCTACCGCCAGGGTGAACAACTTTTGGCTTCGGCGGTCCCTCATGACCTGCCCGGCTTGGGTGGCCCTTCTGGCAGCATACGCTACCGCCGGTATAGCTCTTGGGTTCCTTACGCTTACTGAGCCCCCTCATCGCGGCAAGATGGTAGTTCTCCGAGGGGGATGAGTTTTGTAATAAAATATAATTATTAATATTTACGCATGGAACTGAAGAGCTGCATCTTGACATCTAGCCTTAGGTTGCTGAGCCCTGCTCTAGAGGGATATGACTGTCTCGATATACCTAAGGTCAGAGAAGGAGTGGTCCTCTATGACACCAATGTGAGGTCAATGACCTCGTGACGGTTTCTTATTATAAATGTGGGGTCGGTACCCCCATTACATAATAACAGGTTTAAGTTGGGATAAAACTGAAAAGTGACTTTCATTTGTGTCAGAGCTCTCCCATTGGGTGTGGTGAGCGTCCGACCTCTCGCTGTCGCTGGTTGCGAACGAGGTCATTTTGAGGATCGCTTTATTCGTGAGCCATGTAGGACGACACCAGCCTTAGGTGTGTCCGCTGCAGCTCTAGGCGCCGTGTGGTCGCAATTGCTAAAATTGTGGAGAAGAAAGATATTTAGTTGCTTTCTGGCCAGAATACAGGAACGCATTTTACCTTTTTTTTTTAGCCACAATCAGATGTAGTCCTTAGTAGCTAATCCACCTACCTTGTCTCCTAACACCCAAGGCTCCTGGATTAGTACAATATCTGCTCCACTCATGTCCAAGCGGAGTATGAGAGAAGCGCCTTACAGAAGTGGAGATTAATCTGCACAAGTCTCAGAGACATCCTTTAGATCAATCTTCACCACTGTTGTGTCGGCGACTACTTGTTGAGGACGACCACCACTTGGTTTGTAGGGCCTTGTGTCGTCTCAACCTTAACGACCTTCCAGTCCGCGGTTGGATGAGTCCCGACTCATTCAATGCAGCGGGAACCCAAATATTTCTATAACATAATTTTATTTTCTAACAATGTTGTTTTCAGTTTGACGTTTTTATAATTGTATTTGCTAATGCGCTAACAATACTTTCATTTTAGATTGATGTTGCTACCCTAGAAGATAGGTGGAGATTGGAGTTTCTTGACCGAATATCGCTATTAGAAAACCAAAACGGGGATCTAAAATCTCAAGTTTTCAAATTAAATCAAGCATACACCGATGTATTGAAACGCATCGATATGGTTGAAAATCGTCTAAATTTTTCCAACGGTAACTTGAAAGAGGATGATGTCGACTTATTTGCTTCAGACAGTGAAGAAGAAACTAAAGAGGCTGTACGCATAAGGGAAGAACGACTGGCCGCTTATAAAGCTAAGAAATCAAATAAAGCAATTATTGTAGCAAAGTCAAGTTTAATTTTAGACGTTAAGCCATGGGATGATGAAACTGACCTCCTAGCTATGGAAATAGAAATCCGCAAAATTGCTTTAGAAGGATTATTATGGGGAGCTTCTAAACTTGTCCCAGTGGCTTTTGGAATAAAAAAACTAAGTATTTCATGTGTGGTTGAGGATGATAAAGTTTCTATTGATTGGCTTACTGAAGAAATAGAAAAATTAGAAGATTTTGTCCAAAGTGTTGATATAGCTACATTCAACAAAATTTAAGAGATGTAAAAAAATGTTATTAAAGTAATCATAGTTTCTTGATGGCATTCTTAGCCTTCTAACTTAAACGAAAATAAATAAATTATAATATTTTGAGTCTTGTAAACTACTAAACTACTACTACAGTTAATCTATATATATAAAAATCTCGTGTCACGGTGTTTGTGACTGAACTCCTCCCAAGCGGCTGGACCGATTTTTATGAAATTTTAGTCGTATATTAAGTATATATGCGCATAGGTCGCAGATTATTTTTAATCTTAATATTGGTTTTTGGATCAAGCAGTGATCTGATTAAGTTGTCAGTGTGTTTTGTGACATAATCTCGATTTAATATCTTTCTTTGTGTTTGGTAGGTTTGTTTGGGAAATTTCTTAATTTCTAATTGTGGTAAAGTGAAAAATGTAACATTAATGCGACATAATAGAGCAGAAAGAACACTCCAACAAGTCGAAGAAGATCACAATTGACAATCAGGGGTGCCACAGAAATCACTAGTGAAATGGAAAACCGCGCAGAGGATTTCCGCTTGAAAATTTCCGCCGTGCCACAGAATTCCGAGCGATTTCATTTTTCTTAGCATTGTCACAAACCAAATTCGAACTAAGGCTAGGGCTTACACCTTTCAAGATTCAATTCGAATAGGGTTCATTTTGCAGTTTTATTTATTTTATCATATCAAAACAATTGGTTTTTAATTTTTTTCTTTTATGATGTAAAACAATTGATTTTTCAAAGCTGTACGTTTATAATTTCAAAGCAAAAAAACATCCCATATCGTGCGAGTCAAACAAAACAATGTACTCGGCAACTCTAGCAGCAACTCGGCAACTCTCCGTGCATGGCAGCAATCAGCTGTTCAAAAAGAACAGACAGAGTTTTACGGTAAACTTAATAAAAATGCTTTTAGCGAGACTGTTGGCCATCGAAGAGCTACGGAGGCAACATATTAGAATATAAACCTTGCAGCGCAGGCTTCTCAGATGCGCATAGGACTCGTTTTCGCGTTCAGACGATACGTATGTGGTTTTTGTGATTGTTTTCTCAAAATACTGCTAATTTAGTTCATTACAATTACCAGTTTTTGGTATAATGATCGCTATGCTTCTATTTGTGCTGCCATGGGTCTGCACTTATCCGAACAATGGCAATAATGTGTAGAAATGTTTTGTTAGTTCTGTTTTGACATTTTGAAGCGATGTCACCTGGTAGAACTGCAAATGACTACAAATGTTTTCACAATTTGCACAAAAAGTATGCACACGGTTGACGTAAAGGAAGTTTTACTGCAATGAGCTTTTTTTTTTAATGCTTAATTAAAGAACAACAGAATGCTTTCAATATAATTAATATTAAATATAATGCTCCGAATTCGACTTAAAAAAGGTGGCATAACTGTATTAACTTCGAAAGTCCGAATCGCCCTAGGTGGCCACCTCGCACTGCAGCGGATTGAGAACGGAATCGTTATGTGAAAATTCAGTCAGCGGATTGGATAGTGATTTACTAAAATGCTTATTTTATTAACTTAACATGTATAATGTTAAATTATTTGGATGAGGGTTAATCACCAATTTAACAACCTTTATGGGAAAGTAAGATTCGAATTGTTTTTGGTGTGTTTTAAGGGTGTATTTAATCCAAACTCTGGATAAATTGTGAGCGATTTTGATTCCGCTGAAAAATCGGTGTGTGGCACGGCGGAATGGAATTGAGGCGATTTTCCAGCGGAAGTGATTTCTGTGGCACCCCTGAATATTAGAGAAATTGACCGACAACGCCAACAAGTACATAGATTATTTACATCCGCTTTGTTCCTTCGTCTCGCATTCGCATAAGAGCCAGATAATCAAGCAGGCACTTTCACAAAAAAAAAATGTGATTTACTTTTTAAAATAAAAAGTCAGGCGCTCCCGCACTCGTAAAACGCAAGACTTTTCCGTTTTCTAAACGCAAGACTTCCGTTTTCTAAACGGCAACTAATTCCTCGAGGAAATGAAAAGTAAACGGCTTTTTATACAACTAAACAAATCTTCATTGCAAAAGGAACAAAATATATGACTTAATGATGCATTGACCTGAATTTGACACCATTACCAGTGCAATAGTCCCAATGAGGCTTCCGGAATGGTGTCCGATTGGAGTCGCCGCTCCTTTGTTCTGTAGCCGGCCGTGCGTATCTGGGCGTGTGTCGTGGTGGTGCGAAAGTGATCGGGATGGTCTGCATCTGAATACTCTCGAACTCCGTGGCCAGCAGTGTTAGCTGTGACAAGTTTTGCAGTTCGTGGCGGCGCACGTACATCTGGTATGCTGGGAGGGCGTTGTAGATCCTGGTTAGCTCCTTGGCTGCGTCGTACCCGGCGAGGTGCATGAGTAGACGTATCTCGATGAGGAAATCTTTGAACAGTTCCCCCGCCACTTGCTGGCGGGCTCGGATCTGGTCTTCCAATTGTTCAAAATACCGTGGTGGCAAGAAGAACGTTAAGAATTCCTGGCGGAAATTTTCCTATGAGGAACTTTGTAGGCGGCTGGTGCGGAACTAACGACTGGCACGGTCTGTGAGAAGTTCGGCCATGGCCCGCGGCAGTTGGTTTGGGTCGTGATCATGTGATGGGCTGCATCGGCATTTGCCGTACGTTTTTGGATAAGCTGGCGGTTACCCGGGTGTGTCTGTCGATTCCCAATGGGGTCTCCGAAATGGCGTCCGGTGCGAGTCTTCGATCCTCTGCTCTGTAGCCGGCGTTGCGTATCTCGGCACGTTCCACGGGGGTGCGAGAGTGGTCGGGATGGTCCGCTCTTGGATACTCTCGAACTCCGTGGCCAACGGCGTTAGCTGTGCTTAGCTTTGAAGTTCGTGTCGTCGCACATACATCTGGTATGCTGGCAGGGCGTTGTCGTAGATCCTGTTCAGCTTCTTGGCTGCATCGTACCCGGCGTGGTGCATGAGTAGCCGTATCTCGATGAGGTAATCCTTGAACAATTCTCGTACCGCTTCCTTGCGTGCCCGGATTCGGTATTCCAATTGTTCAAAATACCGTGGCGGCAAGAAGAACGTCAAGAATTCTTGGCGGAAATGTGCCCATGAGCTGCCTTGTATTTGGCTGGTGCGGTACCAGCGACTGGCCCGATCGGTGAGAAGCTCTGTAATGGCCCGAGGCAGCTGATTTGTGTCCACCCCATATGAGAGCATACGTTCTTCGAGTAGTTCCAGAAATGCAAGTGGGTCGTCCTGTCCGTCGAACCTGATTCCCCATTTCCGAATCTGTTCCGCGATGTGGGCGGTGTGGCTGTGGTGGCGTCCATCTATGGAAGGGTCCATGGCTGGCACGATCCTCTGTGTGGGCGAGCGGCTGGTCTCCGTAAGTGGAGGCCTGGGCAAATCGGCTGGCGTTAAGATGCCTGGTGGGCCGGGAGTGCTGTATTCGGCCGCGGTGGGGTCTTGTAACCCGGCTTTTGGGTATATTTTCAGCTGGTCGGATGGCCCAGGAGTGGTGGGCATGGGTGACCTGGAGCGTCCTGCTGGTTTGGCCTATTGCCGTTCGAGGTCTCCCAGTCAAACCCAGGCGTCCTGCGAGAGTGTTCCGGCGACTAATGCGGCGAATCTCTTTCGTCGTTCCTCGACCGTTCCTTCGTTGCCAAATCCAAATTCTTCGGCAAGGGCTTCCAGCTCGTCCCGACGGAGTTTGTAAATTCAGCTGGCGGTGACCCCTGGATTGGTATGGTGTCCCTCAGGGAAAAATTCATCGGGTTAGCCGTCTCCGTGGGCTTCCATGGTCTATATCTGTGGTTAGTGGCACTGACTTACGCTTGGTTTGGGGTACCTCTTTACGGTAGCAATTTCGTTCGACACTCGTAGGATCGGCACTGCGGCTCTACTTCGCGACCGGATTTTGCGTGGGCGTGGTTTTGTGCTTGACGGGTATCGGTCCTCGCTAGCCTATTATCTTTCGGTGTCCGTGGGTCTTTACTCCACGAAGCTCCGTGTTAAGGTGTGCTCAAAGTTTCCTTAAAGTCGCCTTAAAGTAACCAAAAGTCCCTGCTCGGGCGACCTTTTTCAGGCTGGGATATGCATCAGCCTGTCCAGGGACCTATACAAGAAATTTGTAGATCTGCTGGAACTTAAGGTTCGGGGCGGCCTTGAAAGAGCAGTAGGCAAGATGGGAAATTTGATGACTCGATAATTGCTGTCGTTTTGTTTATTTTTAATGCTTGGGTTGTTTACAATTTGAACCTGCTTGTCTTGCTACTTGTGCTGCGGGCTGGTGGACTGCTCAGTGTAGTGTCTTGAGTTTGTGACTGCCTAGGGCTGATGGACTGCCTAGTGCACTGTCTTGGGTTTGGGACTTCCTAGTGCAGTGTCTTGCGTTCGGGCTTATGGACTGCCTGCTTCTTTGGCCGACCTTGGGTTTTTTAAGCAGCTGGTGATCGCACCTGAGACCGTGATTTTCCGCGGTCTGTCTTCGAAATAATTAATTTGAACTTTTTTTTTGAAGAATTTTTGAATTCTGGTATTTTTTTGTAAAGCTTTTTTCAGAGGTAGCGCTTCTTTTTTCACATAACTCTAATATCTAACGTCTGGTTGGGAATTAGGATCGCGAACAGGTACCATATGTACAACCCTTTTTCATTTGCTTTGTTCCCAATTGGCAGTTGGGCCCGCAACCTTCGAAAAGGTATTTTTTGTTAATTTTGTTCATTTTTTAGGTTTGGTTAACAAATTTTAGCTCTAAAGTTTCTCCACAGATTTTAATGAGCGATACCTCAGACGACGCCTAGGTCACAGGATATAATTTTTTTTTCGACTTTTCCTGAGTTTTTAAAATCAAAATTTCGTAAAAAATACCGCACAAAACTCATCATTTTTGCATTTCAATGCTTTATATTTCCCAGACGGTAAGCTGAAATCACAAAGTGTTTGGGCTTGACTTCTAGCTGTTTTTATTATCTTTTTAAAATAGCAAAGTTATTTGAAAAAAAGAAGCGCCACCCTTTTGAAAAAAGCTTTAAAAAAATATCAGTTTTCAAAAATTATTCAAAAAAAAGTTCTGCCACAGAAAAAAAAAATATAATCAAACCATTTCTAAGCCCCAAATCTTTAAGA